AGAAAAGATTGAAGTTGTCAATGACTTCATTTTTCTTGGATCAACTATCAACACTCAAGGAAGCAGCAGTCAAGAGATCAGACAACGTATTGCATTGGGCAAATCTGCTGCACAGGAACTTTTTAAAGTATTGAAGAGCAGAGATGTCAGCTTGAGGACTAAGGTGCACCTGACCCATGCCATGGTATTTTCAATAACCTCACATGCCTGTGAAAGCTGGACAGTGAATAAGGAGGACCATAGAAGAATTGATACTTTTGAGTCATGATGTTGGAGAATTTGAAAGTGCCATGGGCTGCCAAAAGAACCAATAGATCCGCTTTGGAAGACATGCAGCCAGAGTGCTCTTTGGATGCCAAGATGGCCAAACGTTGTCTCTCATACTTCTGACATATTGTCAGAAGGGACCAGTTGCTGGAGAAGGATATCATGTTTGGTAGGGTGGAGAGTCAGAGAAAAAGAGGAAGACCCCCAACGAGATGGACTGACCAAGTGGCAGCATCGATGGACTCAAGCGTGGCAAAAGTAGTGAGGTTGGCCCAGGAACGGGCAGTGTTTCATTCTGCCATGCATAAGGTCACTATGGCTTGGAACCAAATTGCTGGCACCTAACAACAACAACAACATTTACTGGTCCAGTTACGAGGATTTTTGTTTTCTTTACATAGAGTGAAACCCACACTGAAGGCTGTGGTCTGCTTATTTTATAGTTTGTGTTTAAATTGCACATTGTGCTTATGAAAATAACACATGGAGGGGTGGGTGGCTGTTTTTGTTAAGGTTGGTTAATATATATAACGCATGCATTATTTGCAGGAAAAAATACAAGTCTCTGTCTCTGCACATAAACTCCTTTTTTCACCTAACAATCTGGAGTTTACTTTTGAATACTATATAGAGATATTTCTCATTTCTTTCACTTAACCACTCCTTTACTGCTAGACATTAAGGTTGTCTCTAATTTTGCTATGGCAAATAATGTAGTTTTTGCTATTACACACAGTGTAACTGAATAGACTTTAACATATTTCATTATATTTTGGCCACTGTATCCTTCATCCAAACAATTCCATTAAGCTTTATGGGCAGGAAGACTTGATGAATATCCTTGGCTCCTCTGTATCCAAACATGCTTCTACAGTGACTTCATTTAAACTCACAACAGGCAATAATATTCCTGGATAATATTCAAATGTTATTTGATGCAAGTTATTATCAACTTAAATTCTTGGGCTAAAAGTTTATAATGTCTACCTTTTATGTCTACTGTATCAGTGACTGCAAGCCTCTCAAAGATCAAAGATATGTTATTTTTTATATTGCTTAACTGACACAGAAACAATACATTTAAAGAGTCACTTAATAAATATTACCATTAACTGATTATATAAGAAGTGGTTAAGTACTGTAGTTAAGATTTTACATGTTTTTACAGAATGATCTGTTTACTGTGGCTTTTGATACATAGCTACTAGTATCTTCTTAAAAATAAAAACAATCCTAGCAATCTATATTTTTAGTATCCCTACTGCATATACATCAACTTTAATATTTTAAAGTTTTGTTTTGTTTCTCAATATAAAATTTGGGCCAAATTCAAAATAAGTTTTGTAACCCAGTCTTACCTTAATGTTGTATTTTCCTTTTAAGATACCTTTCCTCGATAAAATCAAGTTGCTAAATATATTTAGTAATCTGAATTTAAAGTTAGTATAGGTCAAACACAAGGGGCTATGATTCATTCTTCTAAAACATAGATTACTTACGCATCTGTGGTCTTTGTACACCCATTAAGATTCAGCACTTCAATGTTCCTACAGTTTTGTGCAAAGGTCCTTTATAGGAAAGAAACAAAGTAAAAGCTCTCAACTGAAATGGGGACCACTCTAGGCATTTAAAAAAAAAAAAAATTGTATTACTGGCAATATTGATTGTTGGTACCAAAGCAGTTAATAATTACAATTTGTAATAAAAAACTTGTAAACATTGATCTTTGTATCAACCGAGTACAAATGATTTATCTTTGCGTAAATAGATATATATTTTTTAAAATGGTACTCAATACCCCAGTAAGAACCAGTTATGATGGGGATATGGATTTTCAGTTAGAGTACTTGTTCTTGTTTTAGTACCCAAACCATATTTTCTATTACTATACATTTTTGTGTTACAAACAATGCATGTGTAATTGGTTTCTAGAGAGGATGGGCATTCAAAAAAAACGATTTTAACATGTTCTAGATGGGATGGTTTAATCAAGAAGATTAGTTATGGGCTTGCCTTAATGCATTGTCTCCAACTCCAAGACATCCACGAAGACTCAACTTTCGTAAAAAGCCCCCACATCTTTTGGAAATATTCTCCACTACCCGACCCTGTAAAAAAAAAAAAGACAAGTAAACAAAATGGTAAGCTATCTAAAAAGAACACATCTAATTTTTAACAATTTATAATCAGAGATTTTTCCTCATTAAAGATCTAGCTCTGGTAGCATCGGGCTGCTAACCTCATTGTCAGCAGTTCAAAACTACCAGCTGTACCGGAGGCGGGGGGGTGGGGGGAGGCAGGCTTGCAGGGTATACCCTTTGGTTGGTTGATGATGCATGGAAGGGATTGTAACCATGGCAATGAAACAATATAGGATAGGATGAATGTAAAACTAATGTTCTCCCATGTAAACTATCACATAATTCACAATAAAACTTTAAACAACAACAACAAAAAAAACTACCAGCGGTTCAGGAGAAAGATGAGGCTTTCTGCTCCCGTAAAGATTTACAGCCTCAGAAACCCTATATAGGGTTATTATGAGTCAGAACTGACTCCATAGCACATAACCACTAACCTAACGACCACATTCTAAGAAAGATCTGATTAGTTCATCTACTTGAAGCCTGCGTAAACTCTTTATTTTGGTGAATTTGTAAGATATTCTGTATCTGAGGAAATGATGCTCTCTCGTGTTGTCATACATGTATACTGCACTCCTAGTTATGCCACAGCTATTGAACGATAGTCACAGCTACTGAAAGACATTTACTGTCTAGTATCTCTGTATCCTTTCCAAAGGACATAGAAGTACATATAATATGGACTTAACAAAGTTTGCTGAATGAATTTGTAGGCAGGCAGTATTGGCCTAAACATTTATATCCATACATATTAGAGAATTGTGAAAAACATAAAAATTTAGTGGTGTTGTTTTTTTTTTAATCCAGTAAAATGTCAGAGAGTATTATGTTAAAAACACTTTCTAAAGGTAATGGAAGTTCATGTGATTTTTTACAATCTTCTTATTATCTCAAGAGAATTATTTATACTGGAACACACACACAGAGAAAGGCCCATTTAATTCTTACAACATTATGAGGAAGCTATTATTTCCATTTTCCTGGTTAAAAAAAACAAACAAACTATAGGACCAGAGAAGACTTCAGGCTAAAGTAATTTAAGTTTAAGCCTTAAATTTGTCTGACTCAAAAACCCAATGTATTTCTATGTTTTGGAGATAATAGGCTTTACTAAGAGATGAAATAAGGGAGAGATGTGAGAAGGAATAAAAGAAAAGAACAATTAAATAAGTTATTTTGGTTTACACTTTCTCTCATTCTCCACAAAAACTATCTGTTGCCTTCCATAGAACCAAAAAGCTCTTGGGAACTTCAAAGGCTCTTGTGACGTTCAGATGCATGGAAATTAATAGTGTCTCTCTCCAAGGTAAAGGAGAGGATTTATATGACTGGGGTTAATTTGTTTCATACTGTAATTACACTCTAAAAGGAGAAATATGGCCGTACACCACATAATTATACCTCAATATCCCGCTGGAAATCAAACAGGTCAATTCGTTGCCAGTTACTGCCATCGAGAGCAAGAACATTCCAGGCCTATTTTGAAGTAAAAAGAGAAGAATCACTAAGTGTTGGAATGAAGGGCAAAAGCCAGAAATATTTAAATTCACAATTCAACCTAATGACAACCAACTAATAAATGAACTGGATGAAAAATTTCTCAACCCCCCCACTAATCCCCTATATCAAGGTTTTTCTATCCAAAGTCTTCATAACTCCTACCAAATTGTGTGTGACCAGGCAAATAGGGTGTACAGGACTATAATGCTGGGATTGGTTAGTTGGTTTTTTGTTTTTTTTTTTCTTTAAGTTTTTATTGTGGATTGTGTGTAAGTTTACAGGGCAGATCATCAGTTTTACATTTTAAAAATCATATAACTTGTTTCATCACAATGCGTACATTCCCCTCCATGTACCATCAGTTAACAGTAGTTCTCTCTAGTCATTTTAGCACTTAAAAAAAAACAAAAAACACTCAGGCATATATAATAGTTTACACCACCAAAGGACACATTCTCCAAGTCTGCCTCCTGGCAGCCAGCTCTTTAGTCCCTCTTTTCTCATGAATCTAGAGTTCTCAGCTGCTCCCTCTCTGCCTCCATCTCTGGTGTCACTGCTTCTCTGGATAAGGTCCTGCATTCCACTTGTGCTCTTCTCCCTTGATGGTCCTCAGGTCCTTTGCTTCTGGACTGTAAGATTAACTGCTCCCCCATTTTTGATACAAAACTTCTATCTTTACAGTTGTGACAGTCGCAATTAGTCATGATAACAATTACTCACTATGGAATCACAGGAATCTTATCTCCTTTTTAAATCAAAACCATCTAGGCAAGATGACAACTATTCAATAGGGACTCTTTCTTCCCCCCCCCCATATACTCTTAAATTAAACTCCCTGTTGAAACCTTGTAAGCCACTCACTTCATGCCTTTATCGCGCCATTTTAGGTAGCCAATTTCTAAGTTGCCTGTCCCTATCCCTGTGTACAGTGGGGACAGCATTGATACTTGATATGAAGACTCCTTCCCTCTCTGTTGGAATTTACAGTTACTACCTCCATGACTATAGGTCAGGTTCATCAAATTATACCAATTTACACTTATTTCCTTTATCACACATTGTGTGTGTGTGTTGTTGTGTGGGGTTTTTTTTCCCTCTCATTGAGTTCTGATTATCAAGCCATCGAGGCTAGGTCAAATGGGTACAGTCTACAAGTTTGGGTGTTCTTGTGCGTCTCCCCTCACTTCATATCAGCTGTATGCTTCACTCTCAGCTCTAGCCCTCTGTGGCTATGTCCTTGTCCAGGTGTCCCCAGGTCTCACCGTACTTTGACCAACCAGTCCTTCTCTCTCTCATCTCCAGGTCAATGGGAGTCAATGGACCATGGATGAACTCAACCCATTTCTTCATTGCTGCCTTTTCCCCTCTTCCACTCACCAGCAGACCAACATGGTCACCAGCAAGCTTACATGCCTGCTCATGTGTTCCCTTTGAGTTTCAGTCTTAGAGGGGAGTTTATCCTGAAGGAACTTGATTGCTTGCCTTGATGAATTACCAGCGAACAGCTTGCTTATTCTTGCAGTAGCCTGTCATCCTGACATCTTTGTTTTGGGTTTTACCTGATGATCTTTCTTTGAAGATGCATCTTCTGACAGTCTAACTGTTCCAGGCTGGTCAGCTTGTCCTTTCTAGAGGGAATGTCCCACCTCATAAGGTTCTGGATGGGACTCAGGATTCCACCTAAGGTCCTATACTCTGTAAAGGCTTTGCACAAGGCCTCTTTCACTGGGCAAGTTCTAGAACCCCTTTTAGGATTTCCAATCAGTTAAAGGCTGAAGACGGGCTTCTAAGTTTTCTGTAATCCTGCTTCCCAACATTCCTTTCTATACCACTCAAGTGTCTATTTTACAATAGTAGGAAAGGTAAAACAATATTCGTAAGACAGTCAATCATCTTAGTATTATTTCCCCTCTTCAAACTATGCCTAGATCCCTGTATCACAGAGTCCTGGTGTTCAAAGGTTAAGCATGCATCACTATTTACCTCCTCACCCTTCTTATGTTGCCCTCCCCAATACCCGAAACATGATGTATCTGTCCTTACCCTGTGTTCTACCATCACCTCCCTCTACTTCCCCCTAAACCCCCCACCCCAACCTCACCATTGTAGTTATCTTACATTCCATTAACTCTTCCTTCCATTTAAGTCAGTCTATTTTATCCTGTAATATAACTGACCTTACCACCACCTAGATCTCTGTTCCTCTTTGTTTACCTTCTTTCCCACTGTAATTGTTTTGATCATAGACTGACCTCCCAGATCCTCTGAATTTGTTCTTATAGTTTTATTCTGTTCTTGACTCTTCTATTTGTTGACTGACTTCCGGGTGATGCTGCCATGTACGTCATTCTCTGGTTGTTGTCTGCTTCTTGCTGGTTCTGTCCACAGAACTTCCTTTAGGATGTTTTTCACAGCAGGGTTGGCTCTGGCAAAATCCCTTAGCTTCTGTTTATCCTGGAATGTTTTGATTACACCATTGTATTTGATTGACAGCTTTACTGAGTAGAGGATTCTTGGTTGGAAGTTTTTTTCTCTCCAGATTTTATATATGTCACCCCATTGCCTTCTTGCCTGCATAGTTTCTAATGAGAAAATCAAGCTTAATCTGATTTGCTTGCCTTTGTTATGTTACACTTCTCTTTTCCCTAGCTGCCTTCAGGATTCTGTCCTTATCTTTGATTTTGGAGAGCTTGATTATTATATGTCTTGGCGATTTCTTTTAGGGTCTACCCTTCCTGGGGTTCGCTGAGCTCCTTAGATGCTTATCTTTTCACTTTTCAGGATGCTAGGGAAATTTTCTTCCAGAAGTTCTTCAACTATCTCTTTTGTGGACTTGTGTAACTCATCCTGTTCCAGAATACTGATAATTCTTAAGTTATTCCTCTTCATGTTGTCTTGAATCTTAGACCTTCCTCAGAGTTTTTAATTCTTTTTTTCTGCTTGTTGTTCTATCTTAGTGGTATTGAGAGATTTATCTTCCAGCTCACTAGTTCTGGCTTCCATCTCTTCAATTCTACATTTATACCCTTTTAGTGTATTGTCCATTTCTGATATTCTATTATTAATTGTTTGGTCCTCTTTCTATAGGTTTTGAATTATTTCCAATGCTGCATCTATCTTATTTGATTGTTCCTGTAGCACTTTCTGGACTTTTTATTTTTCTCAACTTCATTGTAAAGTGTTTTGATACATTTTATAATCATTTTTCTGAAATCCTTCTCAGGCATTTCCAAAGTCTGCCCATCTTCCAGTATGGAGTGTAGGTCTACTTCCAGCTCATTTGTCTAAATCACTTTTTCTCATTTCTGGACATGTGCTGATATGGTCATCTGTTTCTGTTTTTTGGGCATATTTAGTGGTTAGCTATGGCCTTAATACTTACATGGGTGTGAGTTTTGTTTTTTTTTATGCTTTCTTATTGCCTCCAGGTAGATATGATCATAAGATGGGCTTCTCTTTTCACTTTTCTTCCTGAGAAATTTCAAGATGCCACTGTTGGTTGTTAGGATGTGACTCAGGATTTTATTTTTGGCCTGTTTCCTTTTTAGTCTGCCTGTCCTGCTCCACGACCCCCATTTAGGTCTTTTTCCTAGTGATAAACAGTTCAGGGCCAGCTGCAGCCGGTTTTTACTAACATTTGGTTTTAAGTAGAAACTTTCCCTTTAAATTCTGAGGATATCTATGTGCATGCATAATAGAACCCTCCAAGGGTACGGATGGGTGTCCACTCACTTAGGTACCCCCTTTAATCACTAGAATGGAGGTACACAGACAGTGAGAGGCCAATACACAGATACGAAAGAAAGAGTGTCCAGACTATCTCTGTGGTTCTGTCAGGCATCTGTGGTTGCTCTGACCCTTCCCTGGTTTGGTCTCGCCCAAGATGGCCACTTAGGGAGCAGCTAAACACCTTGGATTGAAAGCATAGGATTTCTTGCTTCTCCTACAAATTCCACTGGCTGTAAGCCTTCCAACTTTCTAAATATTCCTTTATATGTGGTTCAGAGTTCTGGGACCATCTCCTGAGCATGCTTGGTCCCGTGTTCTGTGTTGTTGCTGACGGAGTTACTCATTGCACTTCCACCTTCTCCGCCATTATGTTTGTTCTCTGGGATTGGTTAGTTTTGCCATCCCACTAGGTTTAAAAGGAGCAAGCTCAGAAGTAGAGATGATCCCAGGGCCATCAAGAAAGACAAATCATGGGTAAATAGTGAGAGTTGCAAAAATGGTGGCATGGAGAGACAAAGCAGCTGTGCACTTCCCAGCCCATAGACCGAGTAAAGTTGAGTGCTTACAGGCAGGAGATTGGCTTGCAGAATGAGCCATCTAGGCATTTATAGGCAGAATAAAGGAACTGTGTAGCACTTTCCCAAGCAGGACAGAAGCTAAGGAGCCACATGGCTGAGAGGCCGAAGACAAGAGCCATGTGTGCTTGCAGACAAGACACATTCTAACTAGAGAACTGCTGCATCCTGAGTAACTTCTGATCTTGAATTGTATGTACCCTATTTACTTCCCTAATAAACCCCATAATTTTAAGTATTGCTTATAAATTCTGTGTGGCTATTGCAATGGATTATCAAACCCAGAATAAAGCAGAGAGTGCAATAGGAGGGATGGTTGGTGTCACAATACAATAAAGAAAGTTGAAAAGTGAAGGTATGTTTGGCCTCTGCCTCATAGTAATCAGTCTTGGACTGATTTTGAGTTTTGATTCCCCTTACCTCTTTTGAAGCAAGAGAAAGTCACACATGGCCACCACAATTTTTTATTTTTGACCCATATTTTATGCTCCAATCAGATTATTTTATAAGTGAATGAGTAAAGAGACTACTAACTAAGGATCTAAGATTGGGAAGTTGGTAAAAGGGCAAGATTGTGGTAAGTATCATAGCCAAAAGCTGTTTTCTAACTGGAAGATTCTTGTTTAAGTTCCAAAATGAGATAGAAGTTCAGTTGATAAAAAAATTAGTATT